TTGTGTCCATTGTTGGACACCACACGGTTCAATCGAACCGTTATACCGAGGATTTCCGACGGCTAATTTGTGGTCTCTCAGGTTTTGATAATGGGTCGACAATCGGCGACATAAGATGGTGCAGCACGCGCTGGACATTACTCTAAGGAAATGAGGAAGGGAGGGTCAGTGGAGTTGAGCTTTTTCATTCAGTGTCATCATCAGAACCGATATAGCCGATAATTGAAATGAGGTCGATAGTTTAAATTTATCGTGCGATTAATTGATTTGTCGTTTATCGCGACAGGCCTAATAGTAATTGTTTCTTATTCCTAGGGAGTTTAGGATCGGGAGCATAAATGTTTTTTTTTTGTTTGTTTGTTTGTTCTTTTTGTTCTTTGTTTTTGTTTTTTTGTTTAACGGGTATGCAATAAGAGTTGCTCTTAAATGTTCCAACCTGGTTTATGAAGAATGACAAGTTGAGTGTTGGGAAAAATAAATAAATAAATAATTATTCTGAATGCTTTTTGATGTGAGAGCACATATAAGTCTTGTATATTAATAACAAATTTTGAAAGAACCAATAAAAATAATGTTGGGGGAAAAAAATAGCTACTTCAAACAACTTTTGTCCTTTGCTAATTATGGATATGTTATTAGTACTGTATTCCATAGTGGTAATTTTGAATCCTTAAAGGGTAAATAAATTCATATTTCTGTGCACATTTACCTCACTTTGTTCATTTAATCAACAATTTATGTTCCCACTCTTCAAATCTGACTGGCAGCAACATCCCAGTAACTAAACTCCTAATTCCTCCTCTCGACTCACACACTGTCAGTTCAATTAAAAGATTTTAAATGCCTGATAAAATAAGTAGAGGCAGCCATATTAGATTAAAAAGGAATAGAACTCATTTGCACCCTGATAATCAAATAGACTCCTGTTAGCGTGAGGAAAAATGCTTAGCCACGCAACTTCCTCCACTTATTGATAGCAAAATAATTTATGAAAAGAAGTGATTTGGTTCTTCTTTTTCATCTTCATGTGTCAAAAAGACGGGGTGAAGTGTGAGTTTGTGTGAGTTTAGCAGTTAGACAGCTAACTCCCTCAATCAGTATTCATAGACTATCATCACTTCTGCCAGCCCTGTCACACAGCAGGAGTTCAGTTCTATGAAGATAAAGTGATTTTTCTGGAATGGATGACCCTGTTTGTGGCCTGACATGCACATACACCAGCGAGCCATGGAGCGCCAAAATACACACTGGTGCAATAATTAAACAGGCAGGAGTGAAATCCACAACTCAATCTTTTCTTTCATCCCTGCCACAATTTCTCTCGCTATTATGTTGGTGCTCTGTAATGCATTTACGCCACAGGGGTCCCTCTGCATGTCTGAATGCAAACTGGACCACACGTGCATTTTTGACCAAGCTTCAATCTTGCTGCTTTAAAAAAAAGAACAAAAACAAACTTTTTATTCATCTGGCCCCTTGACCTCGTGGTTAAGGGGCCAGATCCCTTTGGGAAATCCTCACAGGGATATTCCAAATAAATCCTGATAGAGACATGCACAACCAATGTTCCTGTCTCACTTTCATGCATAACTTTCTAGTGCATTTTTTGGACTGGAAACCAACATGCATTGGTTTAATTTGAAATTTCCTTTCATTAGAAGTTGTTTTCATTTCACTTTTGTATTTGGCAAGTTTCCACCACATATCAATCATGAGCAACACATACTGAGAGCAAGTGAAAAAAACATTCCATTTCTCCATTACTCAGTAAAAAATGGGACAGCATTTGAGTTTTTCTTCTTAACATTGCCAGTTCTTTGATGTGACTACTACAAGAAGGCCCTCCTGGCCCTGAAGTAATGGAGTAAGACTCCTGCAAATTCACTTATTTTAATTGCATAAGGAAAAGTTACGACTGATCAGAAACAAATATTATAAAAAAATCTCTACCCCAAACTGGGGCTCTGTTAGAGGGGAGGTAGAGCTTCACCTGTAATAATGAAAAAATACAAAGATAAAATGACTTATATTGCTATCACCCCGTGGTTTGTACTGTAATGTATTTTTATTTTAGTTGGCTTAACCAATTGTGATTATTTTTTCTTCAGAATTGCTGAATTTTCGCATTTTTCCATTCACATGCTCGGAAGCAAAGCCGGTGAGGCAGCAGTGAGCTGAGCCTCACCTGGGATTGCACAACCTCTGGCTAACTGCACCGCCTACCATTCTATGAGAGCATGCTCCTTCTGCCTTATAAATGTTAAAAAACGTTTAATATATGAACTGACTTTCCATAATTCAGCTTATGTATATAATGTAGTGTCACACCCACTGTGTGTCTATGCCATCTTTTGTGTGCTGAGGAGCGATCAGAAACGGCAGAGAACAGATTCAAGACAATTCTCGTGCCTCATAGCAGGGGGCGCTCATGACCCAGTCATCCATGTCAGTTGCTATGGCCACGAGTCTATCTGGTCATAGCAAGACGTGGATTTGAGTTGTACTTAAATGTTTTTTCCCTTTGCTGTGGAGCACAGCACAAAATTAATAACACCTAAATTTTGAAGTTTCATTGAGTTAACAGAATTATTCCACTGCGGCAGAGCAGCTATGGATGGCATGTCACTTCGCAGTTGTGTTGAGCATGTAGGCAAATTTGGTCCGCAACATGTTTTGGGCCAAATTTGCCTGGGGGAAATTTATGGCTTAAGCTAGAATGAGTTGGAGGATGGGAAAAATGAAACTGTGTCACTGACTTGTCAACCTGTCAACACATACTACAGGGAGCTGATAAACTCACTTTAGTGTTCACACTTTTCTGTATGAATGAAACATTTAAAGCCACAACACATTTTCACATGCTGCTGATTTTCCAGTTAATCCTGACCTGACATGTTGAGAGATCCTGTACCCTTGCTGCTGTGCACAAGCTCTTTTGCCATGATGCCAGTGTATTGTGTGATGGTGAGCCAGCTCTGAGCACCTGAGCCAGAAGTTAAAGACTTGATGGCAGTGTTTAGACAGCTGCTGCAGCTGAGCCATTTTGCAGATGTGCTTTGAAAGGCTGGCCAAGTTGATTTCAACAGGATAATCAGAAGATTCTAGTCAGGGAGTCAAGGAGGGGGGTTGAATTAAATGAATTATTTGCATCAGTTTGCATCGTTTCATTTTCAGAACATTTAAAAAAAACATATTTCTAAATGAATAGATAAAGTATTTTGGTAGAGAAATGTTAATTCATGTTTGAGTATGTTGAGAAAACATTATAATAAAAATATTGACTCGGCATTAGCTGTTTCATTTTCAGAATATTTGAACATGTTGAAAGGTGATCCTCTGTCCCAGGCTCAAATCACTAACAGACTGATACAGATTTTCCACAGTAATATCCCAGTTTTTAAGCATCAACTCAGACTAGTTTCTCAGTACCCTCTGCTGAAAGAGATTCACATTATGATGCTGCTACCACTATGTTTCACTGGAAGGATGGTGTTCTTGGTGTGATGAGATGTGTTGATTTTTGTGTCAGACATAGTAGCTTCCTTGGTGACTAAAAAGTTAAGTTTTGGTCACAGGTCCCTCCATACATATGGCTTACTGTTGTCGTACCGTGTTCTTTCTATTTGATGAGAATGTATTTGATGATGCTCCAGTGAAGCACCAGAGATCTAGATTTTTTTTTAATATCCCAAACCGGATTTGTATTTCTGAACAACTTTGACCTGTTCTCGTCTTTTCTTCTTGGTGTTCATGGTGTTGTTTGGTTCGTGCTGCTGCTGCAGCTTCTGGGTTTATATATGCTGACGGATATTGGGATTCCTAGATTACACACAGATGCATTTTATTTCACTAAGCATGTGACTAATCAAGGTAATCAGTTGGACCTGAAATTTTTAGAGGCTTTATACAAAAGGCATGTGCATGTCAATTTAAATGTTTTTATTACTTATTTTTAGATATCTTTATTTGTTTTCTTATTTCACTTCACCATCTTAACATGTTTTTTTGTCATTTAGATAAAAAAAAAAACATTCAAATACAGCTTGTGATATAATAAGACACAAATGAAAATCCCAAGATACGTGGATACTTTAGCAAGCCACTGTACATTTCATTTACCGTATTTCAGGAGCAGAAAAAATGGTCGCACAACTTAAGTGTCTTTCAAGATTTTCCAAAAATAATTATTTTCAGGTGATCATTTTTAGACTGACCCCAACAATAAAGAGCAGGGTAGAACCAAATACGAATGAATAAAGTCACAGATTTTGTTCCATCTCTTTGAAGCCTGAAATTCTTTTGGAAGTCTGTTAATTAGTTTTTCTAGATTGAAATTAACCAGATATCATCTTAAAGCAAAATAAAATGTCCAGATTCCAGGGATTTCCCGCAGAAAACTTACTAAGCCCTGTGGTCAGGGGGCCCAGGCGGTTCACCGTGTTTTTGTGTTAAAAGCTGTTAAGTTGATGCACAACGTCAAATATTTCCCCTTTTTTCCTTTTTTTATTCTGATAAAGAAAAAGTGCTAATAAACAAAGACCAATGTAATAAGAAAAATATTTTTTGAGAATTCTGATTATGTTTAAAAGTCTCGTTTGTATCATTTTCTTTACCCAAATGCTTTCTTTGTTGATGTTAAATATTTTTTTTTATACAGGAGTAGTAATATTTAAATTATAATAATAGTAATCCAGTAATTTACTTTCTCTGAATGCTTGTCCTAGCAATGTCTTAAACATTATTGTGAACATTAATAACTATAATAATAATAGGCAAATTAGAGAACATACAAGCTTAAAATAACTACTGTTGTTAAAAAAGCTAATAATGAACACTAAGTTGTGCGTTGTGTTCTGTCTCATTGCATCGGTTACACTTAATATAATTTTTGTTTTGGTTCCTTATTTATCAATGCAGTTGAAAAATTGTGCTGAAGAACCAAAGCAGATTTTCACAGCATCTTAGGCAGGTTTATTTACATGTTTCTCTGTGTTCATCAGAAGTTGCTCCCTATTTGCGAGGAGGAGAACGGGGTCAGCAGGTGGTGCTGGAGGGAAACAGGCTGGTGCTGACCTGCCCAGCGGGAGGCAGCTGGCCTTTGCAGTACCGCTGGACTCTGAACAACACTAACATCACAGACTGGACACCACAATACAGGTCAGTTTCTGGTTTTCATGGTTCTGGTATTGATTCCTCTTTAATCCTGGAATGCATTTCTCTTTCCACCTATTTTTGTAGTCATTTTAATAAGAAGGAGAAGGTCAGAGCTCTTAAACAGCAGTACCAAATTCTAAAAATTGATTAATACAGGTGCATTTGCACCATGAGAATATGTATATTATGTATTGGGAAAAGAGGAGTAGCATCAATCCATACTTCTGAGTTATTTCTTTGCTTTTCACCCTCTCTCCCTCTGATTCTGTCTCTGTGTCCCACTGTGACTTGGAGGTAAAAGCTAAGCAGTGCCTTTTGGCAAAACAAAATTGTTTTTCTCATCATTCAGAAAGAGGAAGAATCTTGGGAAAGCATACACACTGAGGGAGAAAGAGATTGAGCCAGCATTTTGTAGGCAGACAATTGTCTAAGCCAGGAGACATTGTTTAGCACTGGACTGCTCTCTGTGTTCTGACCACTTCAATTTGGTGAGTCAGGCCTATTCTGAATTGGCAAGGCACTGTGAAAATGAGTGCCCAATACTGAAATTATAAGCCTGATTCACCTTTATAACTTATATCGTTATGCTTTTGTGCTACTTCAATGTACATTCAAAGTTAGCGAGTTGTGTTTTGCTTTATAACTCAGTTGTATGTAAGAATTAATTTTGTCGCTCTTGTTTTTCCTTTCTTCGTGTTGTTTACTCACTTGGATTTTAACAAGTTTTGTGAAATAATACTATTTAAATCATCCATCACAGTGACTAATATCCCTGTTAACCACTGCTCTGCACTTTAATGCTAATTGTGTTAGCTTCAGCTCTGCCAAATGAACTCTTAAAAGAAGTGCACTAAAGTTTAACTGTGCTTTTTTTTTCTTAATCAGAGATGTTTCCATTGCCAATATGAATTTCTTGAAAATAGTCTTCATGAAGATAAAACAAAACAGCTGAACTTATTTTGTCATAATACTACTTGTGACTGACATCTTGCATTTATCTAATAATATTTGGCACTCTCAAAGAACTGGGGTGTAAAGCTTTTGCTTCCCCTGAACTGAAATCTGTGAAATCAAGTCCAGCTTTCAGGTTGATGTTGAGTGATAGTTTTCTGCAACACTAAAAAAAATGCCACGTCTACACCAAAAAGTTGACATTCAGGCTCATACAACCAGAGAATGGCTTCTGGGTACTTGGCTTCTACATGTTTGCCATTTCTCAAACATACTTTGTGAAAACCAAAAATTAAAAATGAAAACAGCAGACTCCTTTCCCTTTAATTCAACTTTCTTCTTGTCACACTCACATAAAGTTCATGTTTTTAAAAAGTGCGTACCTCAGAAAGTGTTGCCAAAGACATATATTTTAAAACATTGCCCTGGATACTGATGAAATGCATGTAAACTTTTGAATTTAAGGAAAAAAGTATCTGAAAAATAGCCTTGCTAAGTTTACTAGCAATTAGGAAAGACAATTTGGATAACTGGCCAAACATGAGAGGTTTGGTCAGATTTAATTTCGGACAGTGAGAATAAATGTGTTTGTATCTTTTCGTTTGGTGTATGTAAATATTTGGTTTCAACTGCGGCTGTATTTCTGCCCTAAAAAGCCATTTTACATATCTGATTGGAATGTAATAGCAGGCTGATAGAGATGGAAAGATTCAGCATTAGACGGCTTCCAACATGAAAATCTGTTTCTGGATTATAGAGTTGCTGCATAATGTGTTATTCCTGATTTGAGCTGTCTCTGCGCCTTTGATGTACATGTATGCCTGTTTGTCTGTGTATGTGTTGGTGTCTGTGTACTTTGGCAGCACATTTCGACAGCCTGGGAGTTAAGTACTTGGCTGTCCTGGTATTCATAATGAGCCCCAAAGCAGTGTCCAGTTTGACTGCGTCTTTCCAGCTTCTGTGTGCATGTGTGTGTCTGTGTGCTTGTGTCTGTGCATTTGTCCAGCATGGCAGCAACCTAGATCCGATGCCAGCTCTTCCAATCAGTGAGGTGCTGTGTATTAAAACCCCATTAACAGCCCTTCTCAGGAAGAAATACATGGGCACAGTTAAAAGAAAATTCAAAATATTCAAGCACCTGCATATATTTATTCTCACGAAACATAAACAGACACAACCCAGCAACCACAGGTCCAATCTATTTCCTCTATCAAGGCCATGGATGAAAATGCCCAGACAGACCTCCTTCTACGTCCTAGAACATTCCTTTTGTTATTATTTTTCCAAAATTTTGAGAGATGCACTCAGTCTCAGAGCTATCTTCATTATCTCTGTTGTCCTTTAGGTTGTCGGTGCCATCTCTGCAGAGGGCTGATGCTGGCTTGTATCAGTGCATGGTGAAGAACAGAATGGGGGCTATAATACACAGGAGAACAGAGATACACGTTGCCTGTAAGTTTATGAACATGCACACATTAATTTAACTCTACTCATAATTGCAGCTGTGTACATTGCTCTGCAGTAACACCAGTTTCTTAATAGGCAATTGTTAAATAATATTTTAATAGAATAATGTTTCCAACTTTTTAACTGTTTGATTTCACCTGGTGAGAAATGTTTATCCTGGAACCCATTTCTATTATTTTGTTTTAAAAGGGTCCACAGACTTTAATGGAAGTCCAGATTTATGGCCTTAATTTTTCTTTTTATTCATACTTCAGTATGAATAAAAAGTAAAATAAAATATAATCCCAGTGAGGAGTTGATTTTAATACAGTTAAAACTGTACAGTAAAAAAGGGGCCTGGAATCAGGACAGTCTGTATGTACAGTGGACTCCCAGTAGTCATGGAGGTCAGAGACCACCAGTGGAGCCTGGGTTTTAGAGACCTTTATTCAAAAAAGTGGAACTATGATAGTAAGACATAAAAACTTTAACTGCAGTATGAAAAACACTTTCTTTCAGACTGCATTTACATTATAGTATGTAATTCCATTATTACATTTGATAATGTAATAATAATTTTACATGATCAAAACTATTATTTTGATAATGTATTCAATCAAAAAATAAAAATAAGTAACCAAAAGCCTATTAAAGATGCAACTTATAAATGTCACAGCAATCTTCAAAGCTGAAAAAAACAAATGAATAGGTTTTTAGACTGGTTTCAGGTTTGGACCACTATCCTTTGCTCTAAACAAGTTGATATAAGACTATACATTCATCTAATTTTCCTCACTCCCACAGTTTACGACTGATTATCTTGTCCCTCTTTTACAACTCCACAGTCACAGCTGATACTGTCCTTGTCTGCTCCTGAAGAGCAACTATAACACATTTTATAGCAGTCTTGCAAAGAAATTCAAATACAATATTTAAAATTAACTTAAGTAGTTTGAGTTCCTGAAGAAAAGCTAGACATTCATGAAAACACAGAACAGGGAGGCTAGATGTATAGCATATGTATTCAGTTGCTATTTTTTTCTCTTCGAACACAGACTTTCTCCTAAGTTTTTTCTCTTTGGCAATCAAGAAATGCAAGGCTTTTTCTGACCAACCAGTAAGGATTGGTTGATGCCTGCTCAATATGAGGGACTGCTGTAAAGTTGACGACACAAGTCTGTCTGTTCTATGTTTAGATAGAAATTTTATCTACTTAGAATAACTAATTGATTATACTATACTGTTTGATAACTAGGACCAATTGAAATGTATGTACAACTGAATTTAAATGATTTTTTTTTGTAAAATGCCTTGAGACAACATTTGCTGTGAGTGGGCACTATAGAAATAAATTGAATTGACTAACTGTTCAAGCAAATTATTTATACCCATGTGGCTTATTTATGCCACTCTTCTTTCATGTTTTTCTTAACATGCAAAATGTCAGACAGACTCAGTTTGGTTTCACTGCTGATGGAGTGCCAAAGTGGCTTTGAGAGCAACTGTGTGGCATTTTTGATGCACTTTATGAGTGCGGTAAAAGGAAATTCACGTTCTAAAATCCTCCTTAAATAATTATTTTAGAATGTGGATTCTAAATACATTAGATCCCCTTAAGATGTTTATAACTGCCTATTCTAATTGGTCAAACACAAACTATACCTTAATTTTCATTAATACAAACAGTGGAAAAAATCCTAGCACATCTCCAATCTTACTTATCGTCAGTCATTGGGATATAGCCAATCAGTGTCCAGTAAAATGAATTATTCTCCTAGATTGGGTGCCTAGCAAACATGTCGAGTATTGTTGCTCCCAGGCAGGGGTGTCAAACTCCAGTTCTCAAGGGCCACTGTCCTGCAAGCTCAAAATTGTTCCAAATCTCATTTGTCGTCTGCACACCAACAACACCTACATTCATTCAGATTATTTACCAGAAGAAGAATTACACTAATTTTAGAATCTAACATCTGTCATTGTTTCAATAGATGTTTATATCAATCCTATACTGAGTTAACCCTTTCTCTTTTTGTTTCTTTCCAAGTTCTGGGAAATTTCAGTTCTGGAGAGCAGAGGAAGACAGCAACTCAGGGCCGAGCCGTCATCATCAGCCCACCTCCACTGGCTTCGTTTCCCCAACCCCTGGTCACATGGTACAAAGACGGACTTAAGATCATCCCCAACAACCGATTGTAAGTTATTTTTATCTAACTCTTTCCTTCCTCACTCTTCAGCACATGCTCATACTGCTTTTCAATTAAATAAAAAAAAAACTTCAATGACTTTATTAATCCCAAATGAAATCAAAATAATTTTACTCTGACATGCATATTTTTAAGTGCTCTTCGCATCTAACAAAACACAACTTTGAATTTTGTGTTTCTTATCCCTTAGCGCTGTACTCTGGAAATCGTTGAATGGCAGTTGTCATGAATAATAAGCTGTTTAGATAACTGACCATTTTCATTACAATTGACTGAGGACATTATCAAGAAGAGATTAAACTGAGTTCTCTATTAATCTCATCTAGAAGATTAGTAAATGAATTCATTTGCAAAGAAGATGTTCTTTTGTCTGAATTAGTACAACAGAAACGTACAGGGTCATTAGATGTCTCATGTAGATTTATTTCAGTCTTTTGTCTGATACCATTGTCTGGCTCCTTTTGAAATGTCTCCAATTTGCATTTTATTTCTTAGTTGCCACAGATATGTCTTCCTGAATAATAACCACAGTGCTTTAATAATGAAGGTAATCTTGACAGAGAAAAAGACCTTTGGTGAAAGGTTTTCTGGTGGAGTTTTGGAATGTGTGTATCAATTTTGAAATCATTCTTCAGTGAAATTGTTTGCTGAAACTGAATCCTTCTCTCATTTATCTTCTCCTAACTGGGGATAACCAACTTATCACTAAGTGCAATCACTGCTTGCTAAAATTAAAAAAGTAAGTGTCAGTACACATTTCAGCCTGAATCTTTTTAACTTTGCTGTTATATATGAATAAAACTGAACAGTTTCCCCTCTCTCCCCTTAATGTATGTTCATGGAGCTCTCTGATGGTGAACTGCAACTTTGTTTCCATTCAAAAAATCTGTATGCTTTGAAAAAGTGTTTACTACCAGACCAGTATATTTACTGAGCCTCATCCTGCTTCACTGCAAAAAAATAAAAAATAAATTAAATAAAAAAATAAAAAGAACATCTCATGAAAATGCTAAATTTGTGGACTAGGTTTAAGCCAACGGACCCTTTTTTTTTTCATCATTTCTTTCATTTCTAGGTGGTCAAATATTCATAACCAAATAAATGACCACATTTCATGTTAAATACCATATATCACTCTTGCAACTTATTTTCAGTAGCCTTCAGGCATGTGACTCATTAATTTTTGTGATCCAAACCAGGAAAAAGCAAAAATAAATTAGCTCTGGGCACAGAAAATATGCCAAAGAAATATGAAGCTGAGATCGGTCAATACATAGCAAAATTTGAATTAAGAATGTGAAGATATGTATGGGGATTTATTGGTCAGCAGATCATACTGTAAGGATTGTGGTTTTCTGTGTGTAAGATTGTGGACAGCTTTGAAGGTAAGGAGGAGTACTTTTAGTTGTTGCGATATGAGATGGAAGCCAATGGCTCTGTCGTAGAACAGGTGTGATGTGATGGATTGAGGGGTTGGTGTGATGAGATGGACAGCTGAATTTGTATCTGTTGTAATTCGTGGAAGATTTTCTGTGGCAGGCCAAAAAGAAGAGAATTACAGAAATCTGAGTGGGAAATGACCAGACGGTGGACCAGCAATGGAGTGAGGAGTGACAGAGACAATTAATATTTCAAATATGGAAGTAGGCAGATGAAGTGATATTACTGACATGGAGGTGACAGAGAGACTGCTGTCGAGGATGACAGCCAGACTCTTGACCTGAGGGGAGGGATAGATGGCGAAGTTATCAACCAGAATGGAGAAGCTATGCAGTTTACTTAGTATTGATTTAGTGACAATGAAAAGAAGTTCTGTTTTATTGTAAATTAAATGAACTCTTTAATGCCTCAGAGTTCGCTGAGATGAGTTTGAGAAAATACAGCATCAGGTCAGAGGGAAGTCTGGGTATCTCTGCCTAAGCTGTTGCCTCCAAAACCTGACCTTCAATTAGTCATAGAAATAACTGAATCTCTCGTTTTCCATCTGAAGTGTTAATGTGATCAGGATGTAGAGGTTCATGCAGATGGAAATGAAATCTTCTGATTTGCTTGGAGCCACTGACACGCCATGATTCATGCTTTGACTCTGCACTGAAAAGACTAATTTGCAGTTTTTTTCACAACTCCCTTATTGTCTCAGCAAGAAATGTGTCAACCCCTGTCTTGCTTTTGCTGTGTCTCTTTACTCATTCTTTTCTACCTCCAATTTATTCTTCATGTTGCTTGGTTCTCTTACTTGCATAGTCTCTGTTATTTTTGCATTTTCTTTATTGCTTCAGAAGTGGCTCAAAAGCCAGGAACTTGTGTTCCTGGATAAACTGCCTAACTTCAGCGGTGTAACATGTAGATGTGCACTCGGATGTAATACGTCTCTGCAGGCCGGTTCAGTTCGGCTTGAGCATCTTTGAGCGTGCTCATGCGTGGCGGAAGGCAGTGCAGTGAATATTTGTCAAGTTTTTAGATGTGCCACAGGTACAAAACACTGGAATGAAATGACTTAATTACTTTCTCCTTGTTCTCCAGAGCCTTGCTAATGACCTATTATTCTATTCAGGTGTGGTGCAGCAGAGGCACATCTAAAAGTTGCTGGACACCAGCCCTTGAGGACTAAATGTTGACACCCCTGGTCTAGGCACTGAAGTGTTTGTGTGTAAGGTTATGATGGCTGATCTCGCAGGCCAGTGGAACATGACCAGATGGTGTCTGGCTTTCGGCTGTCTTTGTGGTGACCAAGTTGATGGTGTCGTTTATGAAATTTATTGATCCGATATGCATTGTTGTGATGCCATCTCCAAAGTCACAGTCCAACTGATATCAAGACATGCCAAGAGTTTACAAAGTTGCTGCTTCCAACTTCCTACAATTTTACACTGCACTGTTCCTGCACTCTTAAATCTTTTTATTAGATGCCAGACAAAGAGCTGGAAGGATTAAAGTCTTCTGTGTAAAGCTTGCCCCTCCCCCAGCTATTGGTGTGCTCTGATGGTCAGCTGGCTAAGGTCAGGTCACCTGTATCTCACTCATAAGAAAGACAGCTGAGATGAGTTGTTTGAAAGCATTTATTTAATACATGCAAAAACAAAGTAAATGATTTCACTAACACTAATTTGAAACTTGGCATACATCAACAAATATTACAATATAATCAAAATGTTCTCTTATTGGAAGAATTTCCTAAAAAAGTAAAACTCAAGAGATTTATAACAAATATATATTTTATTTTACCTCTTTTTATTAATTTTCATGAATGACTGACAAAGTGATTCACATATTGCTATTTTATACCACAACCGGTAACTGTGTCACCTTCAGTAAAGAAAATGCTGGATATATTAAAACCGGCTGAAAGAAAGAAATCTGACAATGCCTCAGTTATATATGTTGCCTTGAAATTGTCCTCATTCTCTTAAAGAACCTCCTGACCTTTCCAACTCTCTTCTGTCAGTATGTTATCACAAAAAAGTTACTCCAACCTCTTTAAAATCAATCGGTCTTAAGAGTGTTTTACGGATTCTTTCAGTACATTTGAATATTATTGAAAAGTCCTTTTATTATTGGAACTTTATTAGTAAGTGAAACTTTATATAAATAATTACACAGAGATGAATATTTGAAAGTCTTGATTTGTTAATTATAATCATATTCCACTTAAGTTATTTAAAAAATTAATCTGATAAAATGACTCATCAGGACATACATTCTAACTGATCATTTATGATCACATGTAGTTTCCATGATGAGGTCAGTATTTTCAATATTATTGTCATATTGGGAGTTAGCGTTTTAAGCCCAAATGTAGAACACAACACAACAAAACTGTAAATACAGATATAATGAATTTACTTGGAACAGCAGGAGGTGGGAAAGGTGACTCGGGTCTGGTCCACAGAGGGAAAACGGGTTCAGGAAACAATTGACTCACTACGATTGCTGAACTCACCAGCAGGCTGGTGAGTTGAAGGGTCGTCGGAAAATAGAATGTCAAGAATTGAACTGGACAGATCTTACATATGAACCAAACAAAGCTCTGGGAAGGGTAACTGCAGTGTCCGGGGTCTCGGTCTCACTATGGATCCAGATGGGTTTTATGCATGTTGGCAGAGATCCAGGAAGCCACGGTGGGGTACGTCGGAGGGCGGACAGGTAGGCTCAGGCTCTGTGAGGACAGAGGAGCGGTGCATTTTGCCCGAGTTCTGGGAACTCTGGTAACCAGTAGGTAAGTTCCAGGCTAGGTCAAGAAGCCTGGAGGGATCAGCACTACATGGATTCAGGGCATCACGAGAGGTCACCTGAAAATTGGAGAAGCAACAGGGAGTGATCACTAACAGGTAATACAATGAGGAAACACAGAGGCAAACTCTGGGAGGCTCAGAGGTACCATAACTGGCAAACACTCAGGCGCCGAAGGACTGGCAGTCAGCTCCGCTTGACTCTGTCACTGATGAGCTAAACTCGAGTAAGTTGTGCTGCTGACCTCATCCACGCCCTCCGACTGAATGGATCTGGCACCCTCTAGTGGTGGAATAAAAGTGGTGCATGCACAAAAACTCACAAAGAAACCTAAGAGCCCCAGAACCTAACAATTATGTATCTAATATACGAATATATTTTTCTTAAAATATTTAAATATACAATGTAAACACATCAAATTGTGTAATAAATCTAAATATTACATTTTACTTTTTAATCCTGATGCAAAGCAACTTTTTGATGATATTGTAATTTCTGAACAAGCACTTCTAAACGTCTTTAGTTAGAAACCACGACCAGTTTTAAAGAAAATATAAATCCAATCAGATCATCCACCCATCTGTTTGTCCATCCATTCATTGTCTTTCTTCTCTTAACCCAAACCATTCCCAGACAAGAGGGGATGTTTTGTCCTTCCTAAGAGAAGTGAACCTGATCAGAGTCCTGATCACTTCAACCGACTCCATGCGCTACAGAGAAACTACGGCCCACTGAACAGCTCCCTCTCCCTGCTTTTT